TTTCATTTATATCAACTATCGCAATATAGGCAAATGCTGTTTCGTTTAAGAGAGAGATAATAGGGTTGATGAGGATGCCGCTGAATAAATTGTGACATTTTTAAAAACTTTTTTGAAACAAAAATGAGTCTTTTTGATGACATAAGACAAAAAAAAACCGGAAATTGATCAAGCCAATTCATGTATTCTTGGGCTTCAATAGAATTAATATCCAATTTCGAAAACATTATCAGTGACTGATTTAATAAATAAGCCAAAGTATTCTGCATTTCACCTTCTACGATACGTAACCAATCGTTTATACGAGCATTTTCCTATCAAAAACAATCTTGAGGAAAAAATAACACAGAGCTACATTATAATAATACTTCATGGAGTTTACTTTCCTCATTTTCAAATAAAATGCATAATTAGCATCAGTGCATACTTTGATATTAACTGGCGTAACCAATTTCACCCTTTCTCCTTCACGACTGTTCATTGCTATGATCAGAGTACTATCTTCATCCACATCAACTGCCGTAATACCAGCAAACATTTTTTTCAAATGCTTTTGTACACGTGTAATATCTTTGCTAAAAACAGTCTGAGATGAGACAAGTTCAAAATAAGTAATATAAAATTAAAAATCAAAACAGTCTAGTTGCTTTTTGAGATATAAATATTGTAATACTAAATACAAGTACGGATTGGTACTTGAACAACATGCCTCAGTTAATATTAAGAAAAAAAAAACATACCTATTACCCATTATTTCAAGTAAATCTTCATCTCCAACAAAGTAGAACCGTGGAAATGAGCTTCGTTCTCGTTCTAAATATTCACCTAAAGCTTTTTGGATCTTTCCAAGCATGTCAGCCAAACGTTCCAAAAGACGTTGAGCTCCTTGCATATTAACGATATCCAAAACTCGAGGTGCAGATGCCACCTTTTTCATTAAAGCCAAAAATTCGGTAGAAATACTGAAATAGTATGTAAAGTTAAAGATATAACAAGCTGGAAATTTATATGAACAAAGAATTGCGCCCACCTTGAAAATCTACTGGATTCTATAGGCAAAAGAGTGTTGATATCAGCAGAAGCAGAAAACAATCCATCTAGGTATACCCATCGACGCTGAACGTCGATCCAAACATCAAAAAGTGCACTAATTTTATTCAGTTTCTCTTCCCACGCCAAAGCATCCTAACAAAATCAAACAGCGATAATAGACGACCAAATGTAACCTTTTCAACGATAAATTGAATGTGAATACTACGATATAATAATCCTTAAACTGATAAAACCAACTTCTTCGAACTGTTTGTAATAAGGCGACAGCTTCATTGCAGTGAGAGAATTCATGTGTTCTTTCAGTTTATTGAATAAATCATCCCATCCACGAATAAGTTTGGTTTTATTCTGGTAATTTACAAGGTCTATCTCAAATGACTGCCAAAATTCGCGTACCTTAAATTGAAAGTACTCAAACAGCAATTACAAAGACGTTGAAGTTTACAATCAAAAGAACAAGAAAATAATACCTGTTTTAAAAATTCTTCCAATGCAAGTTCACCTTGAGCTACTAATAACACTTCCTTAATCGCTGAATCATAACGTAGCAAGTCAGCGTCCCAAACTTGTCCCAATGTTAACTCTGATAGATTCCATGAAACACGCAGCTGTTTCATGAGCTGCTTCCAATGACGCTCTTTGAGGGCGTCAGATTTCAACTCAACCACAATCATATTCATCTAAAAACATGGACTTTAACAAAACCTATACATACGAATTGCATATAAAGTAAGGTCAGGTCAAAATTTTTCACATATGATATTAACATAAATCCCATACCTTAGAATAATTATACAGCAATCGTTTAGCATGCTCATAAGAATCATAAGAACGATATTTAGCAGGCAACTGTTTCAGTTCAGCAAGCAACTCGTCTAAACTTTGTCTCAATTTGCGTGGTTGAATAGATAACCATGTCTTTTCTTTTAGTTCATCAATTGCGCCATACATTGGCATTAACGACTGCCAAACACCTTGAAAAATACTATTATTTTTCACTTCAACTGAAATTTGATGAAAATGTAACACAACTTGTAAAAATCTGATGATTTTTAAGAGTATGACATGATTAACCTTTTAAATCCGACAATTCCTCTATAGCAACATCCAATTTCGTACCATGAGTAGTAGTAAGCAATGGTTCAGTCATTTCTAAAGCACCTTTTGCTTTTACCATATTTTCTCTATCCTCCTTCACTTTATTTAATCTAGCTTCAAAAACAGCCAGTGCAGCCAAAGCATCAGAAGGTCTGTGTGATCCCTTAAAAAGCATTCATTTTCAATCACATACATCTTCTTATAAGTAAGGGATATACCTGAACTGGTTTGCTTTTATCCCAATCTGCTAATACATCTTGAGTTCTCTTCTCAACCATTTCATCTTCCTCTTTGATTTTTGTTTGGAGATTAGCGACCTAAAGTAATATTAGCTAACGGCTATCGTCAAAAATCACAAATATAAACTGCAAGCCACACATATAATTTCCATTTCTATTAATTGAAGCTGAAAAAAATCACTAATAGCTGATATCATTATGCAATACAAATATAAAATAACAGTTTGGTGAAAGACTTGAACTGCAATTTTGAAGCATAGCAGAACTCAAAAGTATTTTCCATTTTTTGAATGCAAGAAAAGTAGTTGCAGCTTCTGAATCATAAAGCTGTTATTGATCATATAAATTTTTGCTGAAGCAAGCATCCACACGACCATGCTTCGAAAGTACAACGAAAGGAGAACGACACTCAACCGTTATTCAAAGAATGACTAATAAGTTGGAGACAAAGATCGTACAAAAAAAAAGTATATATGCGAACACAGAACATACCACTGTGCCGCAACTCGGATTATTTAACTGCACCAACAAAATTTCATAAATTTAAAGCAAACATAATAAGATTTACTGTAAAATCCTTACTAACTTAACACCACGATTTAAAAAAAAAAATTCCACTTATTAGCTTTGAATATTGATATGAACTTAATTGTATATTATAATACAAATGAAACAATCCAAAAATTAACAAAATTATGGATCAAACAGAGTATACATACACTTCGAAAAATAAAAATTACATACTTGTGCTTGAATAGCAGAATCTTTCCGTTCCAAAATATCGCTCAGAGCTGACCATTCGCCATCAACATTTTCTGAGTACAACCAAGAGTTCGGAAATTGATAACGCTGCTGAGTAAGCAAACGCTGGGCAGCTCGGAACTGCTCGGCCTAGGAATATTTTTAAAACAACATTCAACCAATCTGTCATTGATGATTTTCAAGCTCCGAATAGGGAAAATTCCCTTTATAAGTATTTCTGTTAATGAGAAAAATAGTTGTCACTAACTTTGTCTTGACAAATTTTCGTTTTTTTTTTCAGTTGCTGAACATATGTTATAAGCTGAATGGCATCAGTTGTTGTTCCACTGTCAACGCTTTGCTCTTCTAATTCACTACGCCATTTCGAAATATCAGAAAAGAATGTTTGCATTTCATGACCTGAACGCTTATTTTTATTCATGAAACAAATGACACCATCAATTAGAAATTTAAATTATGTAATTTACAGACACATACCTACTGAGGAACCGAATTTCTGTAGAATTTCACGATGCCAGTAGTCATATTTGAGAGAGACCTTGGACTGAACTTTGGTATAATCAACAATGACTGGGAAGATTTCCTTTCTAGTTTCTTGTGTATCAAATGTTGCTCTCGATTTTCGAATTTCAATCAGAGTTTTCATCCACTTTGACACGTCAGTTCCAAGTCTTTCATACAAAACATCAGGTTGTAAATCCCAGAGAGCCTAAAAATATAAATTAGGTCATAAATTTCGCAAAGGTTGAATTACCCATACTTATAAGCTTAAATTCCATTTTCAAATCTTACTTGATATCGCAACCATTCGTTCACATAATCAGCAACTTCTTTCATAACCTTCTCTACTGCATCATATGCATGTTCAATGCTTTTCTGTCCTTGAGGAAGATGTGCTAAGACATCACGATACGTAGTCTCTGTGCTTTCTTTTGAAAGAGTTAACTGCAATAAACTTCTTGTAAAAATTAAAGATCGAAAAATATGATTTTAATTAGAGAAACTTCGCTTTTAGCCAAAGTTCTACCTTACCTGATACCTAAAGTGTGTACTTGAAAAAAAAGTGTGCTAAAATAAAATGACAACCTGAAACCGTGTGCTTGAAATGCGTGGTTGATTTGTAACTACCGACTGCCATGCAAACAACTGATCAAGTAAGTGAGCTCGAGCTTGTTCTATACTTGGGCTGATATACATTACTTGTGAGGTAACTCGCATTTCCATGACAATAGGTTGCAGAACTGGAAGACTGTTTTTTTCATCACTTTCATCCTCAAATTCATCATGAACTAGAACACCGGTCCAAAGACGAGTAGCCTCTTCTACTCGCGTGGCCAACTTATCAGCAATCTAAAAAAAACGATGTATCAAGCTTACTCAAGCTAACAGCTTCCAGACAGAAAAACATTCAAAATAAAGACTTTGCAATGAATATTATTAAAAACACTTTTTATAGAACTTGCCTTTGAATCAATGGAGTTAACCCAGTGATGTAAGTTCGAAAAATTACCCAACGACAACTGATCAACTGCTTTTTGTATCGAATCAAGTAAAGTACTGAATGTTACAGAGGTGTAATGACATGTATCCAATGCAGCAAGGTCAAGCTGAAAGTTTGTTTGGTTGGATGCTAGAAAAAAATCAGAAGCCTCCTGGGACTTAAAAAAAACCAAGACCTCAATTCTATTAAGAAGCGTGTCCAACTCTTCTATTTTTTCCTGAAAATTGTTGATAGAAGTCGACAATTTGACAACATATGGGTCCATTTTATATGATTCCCACGTCAGTAAATTGCCCTAAAAAATATAAGCATATTATATAATTATCATTTATATAAAATTCTTAGCTAGATCTGTTTCGACATAGAACAAAACACAACTAAAGTATACATATAATTAACCTCAGCCAGCTGCCCTTGAATATCCTTTTTATAAGCTGCAACCAACATATTCACTCCGGATTTGTTCCCTATTCGTTCATTTATGGAATCATAAGTACGAATGGATTCTAACAAAGAAATTGCGAACGGATATAAAAGATTTGCTTGATGAGCCGTATTCACGATCTTTAATGGTATTCGAAAACCCATGTGTTTCATATTCCGGACCTAAAATTAAAAAATAATAAATAACAAAATATTTCTATTTTTAAATTGAATTTCAGTTTTAATTATCAAAACCAGTCAGAACTGAACCCGATAATTATTGAAAGTTGAAAAAATTTCAAACATTAGTTTTGAAAAATATTCGAAAAAATACACAAAATTACTTCTTTAAATAAAGTGACCACATCGTTCGAAAAGTTCACTTTCAAATTTAAAGCAACTTTTCCATCTTTCTGTCGTTTTTCAATAATAAAAACACGACCAGTTAAAGAAATATTTTTAGCTTGTACATGTAGAACCCAGTCATCAAAAATATGTTGTGTATTCAGCTTTTGTCGGAAATTGTCTCCTTCCAATTTCAGTTGCCGACCTGAAATTAAATAGCTGTCAATGAAATAGTTATAAGATTTAAAGAAATAAAAATGAAAGAAAGACAGACCTTCTACATGATTTTCCCAACCACGTCCTAACACATCCTCAATGCGCTTCATATACTGTGTCAATTTACTATCGATTTGACGAATCCAAAGAATTGATGCAGCAACAGGTGGTATATCTATGGAACGCAATATACGAGCATTACCTGTTTCACTAAAGTTTTTAAACCGAGTCTGAAAACACACTTTTATATTTTTATACCAAACAGACTGACAAAAAAACAGTAATTATGCAATACAGAAGTTCTAATATTTTACTTGTAATTTGTCAATATCCTCTTTAACTCTTTGGATTAACTGGGTTTGATACTCTCTTATTGCACCACGGATATGTGGCCGAACAAATAATGCATTGAATCGTTGAAAAATCATAAACATTTCATCTGCATTTCTAGCACCACCCAACTGGTCCCGTAGTTTTGCAGTGATTTGCGTCTCTACACGATCAATCTGATCCTCATATCTATATTTTACAAATTTTCAGAAAACTCAAGTCAACACAAAAACAGTAATCGTAAGCATTATTCCTCTAAGTATCAAAAAATAGATGCACAAGTACAAAAAAATTAGGATATTGCATTAGAAAATATATCACCTTCGTATAGCCGCTTCCCACGAAAATGTCCCATCAACGCTCACGTCTAAACAGTCAACTTCCTTAACATTTTCATACGCCATATTTACTTGTTCGATGGCACTTAATTCCGTAGCATTCAGAACCGATGTTTTATCAACATCTTTCTCGGGTTTCTTCTCTCCATCTTTATTTCCCATAGGTCTCAATACCCTTGATATTACTGTACGTAACTGTTCATGCTGTCTAAAAATTCAGCGCTTACAGCACTTACTCACTCATTACTTGGTCTACATGGGGAATACAATCAACTTGTAATTTTTGGGCTATCTAAATATTATAAATTCTGTCTAGATTGGTTAAATATCACCATTCAATGATTTAATTAGCATGACTACCTCCGAAACTGCCGCATTTGGTCAAGGCGATTTTCTAATTTCTTATGCTGGGGATTGAGTCGCCACGTCAATTTCAGTTGTTCATCACGTTTTTTTTTTGATAAATCTCGCATTAAAGTAGCTAATTTATCATATTCATCATTCCAAGTCGAAAAAACAGCAAAACACTGAGCCATTAAATGATCGAAATCTCCCAAAGGAATGTTCATTAAACGTCTAGTTCCTAATGCCTGAAGTTTCATGCAAATTTAATCTAAAAAGATTGAAAAATTAATACCAAAAATTAACGAAATGATTTAGATCTAAAAACCAAATTGAAATTGGATACAAATACAAATATAACTAACCTTTAACATTTGAGTCGATACATCTTTTGAAATTGCTTCAACAAAGCGCAATGCTCGAGCGATCGGATATTTCGTGTTACGCAGTTTTTTCATATGTGTAAAAATGTTAACCAAAGCATTCTTAATGCCATCCATATCAGTTGCTCCCATTAATTCATTTAAAGGTAAATCTTTCATTAATACATTATAATCGTTGACCATTGCTAACGTCTGTTTTAAACCTATAATGAATCTTTCTTCTAATTTTCATCTCTATTTTAATATGTAAATATGATCAAGACAAATCCGTTAATGTTGTTTCCATCAAATTACTGAATAAACAGCTTTACGGTATAACCTGTGTCGGCATCAAACGATACTGTCGCATGAAATCGTTTGCCACATTTTAGAGCCTCTAGAGTCAAAGTTACTTCATCAGACTCTCTTTTTTGGGCGATTTTTTGTAAGGCCCTTTCCAAATTCAACCAAAATGTCATTTCTTGCAATGATGTCCCAGAACCTGCATCACGATCTAATTTTGTCACCTAAATATAAACAGCATTGAAAAGCTTTATCTTTAATTTTGAAGAAGAAACAATACAATATTAAACAATTACAATGCACTTACTTTTTGAATTTCTTTAACCCATCGATTGACACCTTTCTGGAGTGTATTCAAAAATCCCGAGTTTTCAACAAGACTGCCTAAATCTGCTACTCGCGCTTTACGACCTTTTTCTGCAGCCTGCTGAATTGTCGATTGAATAACTGGGTTGATCATTAAATTAATTTCCGGTATATCGATATTCTGTTGCATATGAAGCAACGCCACTTCCACCTTAAATCACTAAGTTCATAAACTTGTATTATTACTTCAAAATCAGCAGCCTACATAATGTAAAGAAAAACTTGACTAAGATAATAAATAATTCGCGAAAAACAAACTTCACTAAGATGCTTCTCAACTGACAATGCTAATTTATCACCGTCTCGTTCACCTCTGCCATAATTAACCAATGATTTGAAAAGAGGTGTTCCAATCCGTCCAAAAATCGACAAAAGGACATCATATGAATTACCTTCAGGTATTCTGTAATGTAAGCTTTCATATATCATAGTACATATGTAATTATGGAAGTGTTGCAAGACATCTAGAAAGACTAGTAAATAATAATAATATAAAAATCTTTGCTGACCTCATTACATACAGCTGATCCTCAACTGGCTTGTCGGCTTCAACACATGAACCACATTTCAATAATAATAATGATGTTGTACGTTCAGTACGCTTAGACGTCTCATTAGATATACGAAAAATCGAAGTAACCTCTTCAACAGTATCATCGGGATTCGCATCTAAATCTACAATAGGGTAATAGAATGTAAAATTAGAATTACTACAAAATTTCCCATATAAATTTTTGCAATAAACGAAGAGTAATTACTCAACAAACAAGAACTTCTTACCACAAATACTTTTATTTGAAACTTTACAAGATTTTCGCAGACCTCTGCTAACAATCCGATCGACGACTAATATTGGTATTTGTGGATCACTGATGAACTTCTGGATACATTCCACATTTTCATTGCGTGACAAGGCTTCATCTAATGCTACAGCACCGACGCCAATGAATTCGTGCTTGACATACTCCGAAATTGCATACACATCAACCAATACCACCTCAATATGTAACTTTTGCAGTAGGAAAACACGATAAACAAAGCGAAAAGCATTCGACATGCAAAGACACAGCTTCTACGATTCACTATCCGGAAACTCCGCTAAATTCGTATTAAAAGGTGTTGAGATAATACTCCTTACAAATCTTTTGAGACAGGTTTTTTGAAAAAATGATAGAGAAGTTCAAAATCTTAATGAGTGTCGTGCTCTACTTGTTTGAGATTGCATATTTTAGAACTAGTACTTTGATGAAATCACTTCGTAACCAAAAAAAATTTCATCTTCTAATATTTCATATGAGACATGAAACTGAAATCCATTATCGACGAATTCGAGAGCAATTAAGATGTCTTCATAATTTTTGAGAGATAAACAAAAACCTCGCTGCTTGATGTTGCAGGTGCCACCGTTGACTTATCACTTTCAGAATCGGTCATTTTGCTGTACCATTCCTTGAAACAAACTATCTTTGAAAAACTTTGCACCATTTGTCACATTCAAACGATAAATAAAACCGAAATAAAAAAATCACCAAAAATAACCCATAGTGTGTTATATTCAATGATTTTTTTCCTACTACCCGAATGAAACTGCATATTCATTGTGTGTGTATACAAATGCTTATAGTATTTGTTAAATCGAATCAATTTAGCAATAGAATATCGTTTTGAGATAAATTTTAATACCGAAATAATGAAACGTTTGCTAATAAATAGAATCAGAGAGTAACAATTATTTTGACATGCGCAGAAGGCTCTCAAAACTCAAGCTATAAATAAAATTTTTAATAAGCAAAAAGTCCGTCATAATTTGGTGAGAGAAAAGCAGCGATGATTACTTCACCATGCAGTGTGGTTACCAATCGAAAGCTGCAAATTAACGATGAAAAAAACACAACAATAAACAAACCTTTTTTATGTAATCTAATCAAACTGCAAACAGCAATCAATACACACCAATTGTTAAATACGAAAAGTTCTCGCAATTCATTCGTACAATTTTTCACTTTTAATTGATAACACATAAAAATAGAGTAAAAGCACTGCCAATGACTGCATGCACTGCAACTATCATATCTAAATTGCTTCAAAATGACCTCATTATCAATCAGTGTGATAACTTTTGCCTTGTTATAATTTTCAACAAGTTCTATTCATGAGTTATACATTGATTATTATTATATATATCCCTCATCTGCAACACATGATTCATTTTATCACTCAAGTATGATCTAATTCCAAATTTCTATTTACATAGCAAAGTAAAAGCAAAATGAGATCATAGAAATAGTGAGTGCACTGTTACTCAGCTTGATGCTGTCTTCGACCCTAGCTCGGATTCATCTGATCTCATTTCAATTCATTATTTGATAAATACAAAACTTTTTCATTTACATGAGTTATACATTTTGCCCTTTCTTGCTCTCAGAAATAAAAACAAAGAATGAACAATGGATTTGCAGAAAATAAAACATACTTACTATGCAACACTTACATGCAATGTTATATAGAAATAGAATTTCTGCTATTAAGCAAAAGGATAGTTGGAAGAAGCAATTAGCATGCACATGTAATGTTAAGCGAACTGCAATAGCGAAATTTGCATGATAAGAATTCGAACGATACGCGAGGAAATAAGACGAGATTAATCCTGCAAAGAAGAAAATAAACTGAACGCAGTTTGCATCAAACTTGAGTTATTGTAAGTAAAACTGTGGAAACAATTCGACTAAATTTCCGATTCTTTTGCATCTAATTTCTTATTTTGATACAATTGATAAAAAGAGTAGAATAAAGCATAATACATAAAACAGGAAAGTAAACGCCATGGTAGTAGCCGTCTTTTTTACTGTTTGATACACTGTAGTTGAGTGAACAAAGATGAAATTCGATCTGCGGCATTGCGTTTGCATTAAAAATGTTAGCAATTTCACTTCGATAGTTCTCTAGCGAGTATAAAAGTGAAGAGGTAAAGACAGGAAACAGAATGACACACAACCAGTTAGCTTACAATGAATCGCTGTGAACAACTCGTCAGAGTCCTACACAACGATTTGAGTAGCGTCTGACTCAACAACTTTAATATTGTCCTGAACATCTAGCACCGTTGCAAATAATTTCTCAACAGGACAAAGAAAACATACTTGATAAAAAGAGGTAGCCAGAGATTGAGATAATCGTTAAGAATCAACACTGTCACTATTTATTAGAGATTGAGAGTTCACTTCAATTTCATGAACATCATGTAATGAATTATTTGAAGTTTATTTGTGGTATTCTTGAAATGATAAAGTGAAAAAATAAAATTTCAGTTCAAATTAACAACTTTTGGAACTTTGGTTTTTATTTAAAATATTTTTTACATGTAGTCAGGTGAAGAAGAGTAACGATAAATGTACAAAAAATTGCAATTGCATACTTCTATGGATAATTCTGTATTTTCGAGAGCTGAATGCTGTTCGAAATTTTGCATTAGTTTTTCAGACATGGACGAAGAAAGTGACGACTTTCCGGAGGACTTTGACTACAAAGACAGTGGCAAAAAATGCACGATATTCCTCATTGATGCTTCTCAAGGAATGTTTTCTATAACAGATAGGAGTGATAGTAACAAAAATGAATGTGCTTTTCAGAGGTCGTTAAATGTAAGTGCTTGTATGTGCAGTAATTCGTTTCCAGTACGTTCATTCTATTTTTATACTTCACTGTGTAGCTATGATTGAATACTTTTTCGAACTGCTGAAATTTTTTATCACTTATTCAACTCGAAAATTCAACTCAGACATAACTTCAGTAAACCATGTCACAGCTTTTTCTCACCTTAACTTTATTTCTAAAATTCATTTGTTACACATTTAAAATTTCAGATTATGCGTTTACAAATGATCAATAAAGCAGTCACTGCAACTATTGGAGAATACACATGTTGCATTCTTCTGAACACTGTAGTTTCTTATTTTTTTGAAATTTTTTTCCGGCTCATTTTTGCTAATGGTCTTCAATGTACACATAATTACCGTTACTTCTTCTATTTACTTTTTTCTTTTCAGAAAAATAAGTCTCACTCAATTGATCATGTATATGTACTGCAAGATGTGGGAGAAGTCTCTGCTGAACGCATTAAAGAAATAGACAAGCTCTTGAAAACAGGTGACTATTCTTAACTTTTTTCAGCACATGTCAAGTTTGACAAAATTTTTCATTTCATTACATATTTTCTTAAAAACTCATTTCTGCTTTTATGGTGTTAGATACGCAATTTATCAATTAAATATAGTATTTGATAGCTGCCAATTTGTTGCGTTGTTAAAAATTGAAATATGAAACTCTTGACACACAGAAGTTCGTGGAACACTTATGTAATTCTACTAAGATTGTATTTCAAATGCTTAACTCTTGTGCGATCAGTAAGCAGAATATTTTTCAGATGATATATTATCTGCATTTGAAAATACATGTGGGGGACATGGCTGTTGTGACTATAGTGAAGCGCTGTTTCTTTGCATAAAACGATTAACTTCCCGAACGTTGGTTTTATTCCTTTTTTTTGAGCTTTTTATCATCTTCTATTTACCAATTTTTTCTGGTCATATGCTTTTTATTAAAATCATTATAAAGCTTCAGACCTCACTTCCAGAAGCGTTTGGTTTATCTCTTTACAAACAGATCAAATCTTTTCGGCACTGATACTCAGCATCTATCTTCTACTTGCAAAAATATAGATGACCTTCGAAATCATGGTGTGGAATTTTCTTTATTTCCGATTGTACCTGAGAAGAATTCATTCACATTTGACATTTTGGTGAGTTGATATAAATTTTTCGTTCATTATTCATCTTGAAAGATTCATTTTTATCCGTTGCAGTTTTTTGACTTGCTAACTTTTTTACTGTTCATAACAGAAGTTTTTTCAGGAACAGTTAGATCCAAACGTGGAACGAAATTTCGAACATATCAGTGATTTGGAAGAAGAGTTAATTTTTCATAATCCATTAAATAAGATTTTTTAAAGAAAGAAAATCCACACCAGATTTCAGTTTTCTCTTAACTTCTTTCACAATTATGAAATTTTTACTGAGAGTTTTTGCAGCATTCCAAGAAAGCAATATGCACATCGAAACATAACAGGAATAGATTTTGAACTTGGAAATGGTTTAAAATTCTCAGTTGGGATGTTGGTGTTACTTTTCGTTATTTTCTTTTATTGTTTTCATGTTCTTTGTTATTTTCTTTTTCTTTGCTGATGGTTAACAGTTCTCCATACCTTTTAAGTGCTTTCATTCAATGGATATTTTATTCTTAAGCTATTCTCTATTCCGCTCAGAAAAGATTCCTCAAGCTACTGTTCTAAATGCTGAGGAAAATGAAATAGTGCAGCGAGTACATTTATATGTCAACAAAGAGGTTTAAATTGTTTAATACTATCTTTTAATGTTACTTTTCTTTATTAATTAGTTTTAGTTTCTTTCGTTTTGATTTTTCCGAAAAGATCTATTTTTGAAAGTTTAAGCATATTTTTTTCGTTAAGACTGATGAGGAAGTAGCTCTTCTTGATGAAGAAGTAATTCGGCAAAGACAAATTGGTGGTGAAAATGTCACTTTCTCTGCTAGCGAAATCGAAAAATTACGAAGACTTACTTTACCAGGTAACACCTTAAGTATGGAATGTAAAAATAAAATGTCATGGTGTATTTTTTTCTAAACATGTCATGAGTTACGCTTGTGAACTGGTTGCATGTTTTGCAAAAATTATTGTATTTTTACATCCGTTGAAAATCTCTCGTCTTTATGATCATATTCTTACAAATGTAGTCAAATATGTTGTTTATATGACTATTCTCTAGTCCGCTCAAAAAAGATTCTTCAAGCTACTGTTCTAAATGCCGAGGAAAATAAAAACATGATTACTGAAATATCCAGTATATTTATGTTTTTTGCCTCATATATATATATATTTTAAACTAAGTTGTGTTGACTTTTCTTACAGGTTTATTGCTTCTTGGATTTAAACCACTTTCCTTTTTGAAAATAACGCATCATGTTCGGAGCTCACAATTCCTGTATCCTCTTGAAAAGGTTTACAGTTATTTCCAACAATGTTATGAAAAATTTTCTAGTTTATAATTTAACATTTGAAAGTTAATATACCATAATTAGCTGTTGAGTGTTCTTATGATAATATATTATAAACCTGCAAATATTTTGGGTTGTAAATTAAGGAATTCAATTTTATATCAATTCAGTAACTGAGCTCCACAGGCATTATTTGTAATTTAAGAATATTTTGGGCTCTACTCGAATGTATCGAACACTTTATGAAGTTTGTATGAAAGAGAAAACAATGATTATATGCCGTTATACTCAAAAAGCAAATGTTCCTCCAAAACTTGTTGCTTTAGTTCCGCAGGTAAACTAACTCGCAAGTTTGCTGTCTCTATATAGTCACTAAGCATCATTTATTGATCCAGTTAATTCTGATTAGTTTGAGTGGTCACTCTAAATTACTTTTAGAGTGACCATAATTCGAACGTTTGTTATTCTGGATTTCATCTTGTATATTTGCCTTTCGCAGAAGATAAGCGTGATCTCAGTGAACAGATGACCCACCCAGATGGCAGCTGGCCAACAGGTAAATTTCTGCTTTTAATTTATCACGAAAAAAATATTTTAGATCAGTTTATATCTGAGGTTAGTTTTTATTTTTATTGAAAGTAGCAATTAGCTCCCGGTTAATTCTTTTATTTGCTCGTAAACAAAAAAAAACTCAGTAGCTGTTGCTTTTGAAGTTCAAAACGTGTCAAGAAATTTTTTAATTTTGATGACATGGAGTTTTTAGCATCGGAAGCTCAGATTGAATCGGCCAGGAAATTTGTAAAAAAATTGACGGCAGATTTCTTTCCAGAAAAATTTTACAACCCAGGTAAATCGTTCACTGTTTTTATTTCGATTTAATAATTTACTTAACCAATGATTATAAATTTCCTTTTTCTCTTTATTCAAATTACATATGTTTACTTGCAGTGCTTCAAAAACATTACAAAGTCATTGAAGCCTTGGCTCTAGATTATCATGAGGTACCTGAAGTTGAAGATCAAATTCGTATGTATTGCATCTTTCCATTTTTAATATGATAGATATTTTGCATAAACATTATCTGCGGGCTAGAAAAATATTGAGTCTCAAGGTGGCTGCTTATATAAACTTTATTTAAAATTATCATTGTTTATTGTCTTGAAATGATGAGATCATTTCATGCTTTTCCTATTATATCAAGATAGTGTACAATAATATGAAATGTTTTCAGAACCGTATTTTGCACATTATGATTTTCAAAAACGAGTGGAAAAAGAGTTAAAAGAATTTTCTATGAGTTCACTCCCCACTGATTATAATCCAGAGCAAAAAAAATTCAAGAAAATGGGGAAGACTGAAGAGATGTGTTAGTTGTACAATTAGTATTCATTTGTAGATTCTGCATGAATTAATATTCTCTTTATTTATCAACAGAACCATATCTGATTAGGAGTAGTGTATTATTTTCTTTGTTTTAAAGCCTAATAATCTATAGGGTTTTTTTCTGGTGAAAGTTCAAAAAAGTCATAAGTTTTTCTAGTAAAATAGTTTAAAAAAATCAATATAATGTATTTTGAAAGGTCATTCATGGAGAGACACGGAAACAGATATAACAGACAAAAGTTTGGAATACCTGGTTAACAACGGATTGGTAAGTTGATATACTATTTTGTTCTTGTTCTTTTTTTAAATTTTATCTAGTGATTAAATTTATAATGTTGTTTGATTCATTTTCAGCTCGAGAAATTACCAGTGGTTCAGTTGAGAAAAAAGGCAGCTGAAGAGCTCGTATCAGTAAAAGGATGTACAAAAAAAAATGAGATTATTGAAGCAGTCAAGAAACATTTTGGAATTGATTAGTTTACTTGTTAGTCAGAAAATTGTGATACCATGAGATCATTCTGTTCGATTTTAAATTAAAGTGCTTTGCATTGTCGAAAATTTTACTGTAGAAATTTATTCTCCATACTGTCAGCAAAAGTTGAAAAGTGTCTGTCAACATTTGTGAAAGTATATATTAAAGCTACATAAATTAAATTTTCCCAAATATTTCATTTTTGATGAAGTTTTACACGTGTTCTTACTTATATATAATTTCATTATATGTAATGAAACCATATATGGGTGAAGAGGAAGTCTTGGCATAATTTGCAAGATGAACTGCCAAAATGTTGTTTGTAAACAGAAAGTATATTAGAATTTGAGTTGGTACATCAACTTGATTCTAGTGATGAACACTTCTCTTAAAATCGAATTCGTTTTTTCATTAATGCGCAACAACATAATAACTCAAGTGAATCATTTTTTTTCCTTCGCATCGTATCTTCTTAGTTTTTATGTAAGAGGTTGTTTATAAGCCTTCTAAATTTCTCATCTGAAAATAAAAATATAGAATTTTCAGTAGGAAACAGGGTACGCTTAAGTTTGGAAAATTTTTGATAATTTCTGAGGTTTGAGACCAAAAGTTACTTGGCAAGACGTCTGCAAATTGTCGCTTACTTCATTTTTGGAAAATATTTTCTGAATAATAGTATGAAGGTGTTGGACTTTTTATTCAATTGGTGATAAACTTACTGCTTATGACTTTCGTAGTCTGTGGGAATGTTAATTTCAGCTCTTCTTTGGTTTCTTCGGTAAGTAGTCGGTACTTGGCAACAATGTCTTGAATTGCGTTCTTGAGCTTTTCAATCTCAAATTTTTGCTGACCTCTTGGTATCAGCATTTGTATCTTAGCAATTACCTTCAAACATATGCATTTAGTGTAGATAAATGTGGTGCAGAATCTTGCATCTATGCACGCCATATAAAAGCAAGTCTTGCATTTGCAAAAAATATAAAATAATGAATTGAAATGAGATCAGATGAATCCGAGCTAAGGTTGAAG